TACAGTCGACCCCCCTATAATTACGGTCCCTATAATTACAATTCCTATAAAACTACGAAAATATATACGTATTTTGGAAATGTTGAGTCGGATTAGTGTAGAATCGATTAATTTTATGGAAGAAAACCTTTCAATCAGCCGTAGTCTGTAAACTTGACACGTGTCGGGCTGTGATTGGAACGACTTGTAAGAAATCGGATTCCTAATAAATTGGAACGTATCTATATCTTATAGGGGGGTCGACTGTATTTATTAAATGAATATCCGCAGCAACTTGTATATAAGTGGTATAACTCTTATACCAATAATAGATATGATGTTAAAAATAAAAAACATAGATAATTTATATATTTGATTAACAAAGGTAATGTGAAACAGTCGAAGAATCCTCTGGAAGTGGCAGGAGTCGTTTATAGATTGATGTGTACATGTACAGAACGAAAGTGCTATATTGGCGAAACGGAAAGAAAACTTGAAGTGAGAATAAGGAAAACAAGGCGGCAATTCGAATAAATAGAACTGATTCCCGTGGCAACAGCATTCTAGTGCTACAAATTGTATTGTTCACCGAAATAATATCAAAATACTAGCAGGTAGACCCGGCGTTGCATGGGCAAAAGTAACAATAGCGAAGATTAAAATTATTACGTTACAGTCAACCTTATCCGTTTTAACAGAATGCAAGAATTGGGTCCCTTTCTTTTCGGACTAATTAGAGAATTTTTAAATGATTTTAAAAATATGTTCGATTCCCGGTAAAAACGAAAAAACTGCAACTGCGTCATGCACATCGCTTTCTCTTAACAATTCCATTGTTACTTGTCACTTCCTTTGTTACTTGTCACTTTTATTGTTACTTAACACTTCCATTGTTGACGGAAGTGTTAAGCCTTAATTTTGTCTCTCTCTCCCGTGGAAAGGAATTTCGAAAAATCCCTTCTTAGTGAGCGTTTTCATGACGTACCCTAACTGTGTACCAAATTTTGCTTCTTTAGGTTCATCGGTTTACTCTGGGCGATGATGAATCAGGGAGTGAGTGAATGAGTCACTCAGGACAAGCAATTATATATATATAGATTGTATAACATAGAAAACCTTGTAATGATATTGTTGAACATTATTGTATAAAAAATTATGTAAATGCTATTAATTTAAATACCGGTGATGTGTAGATGAATGCTGGGATAATTTGATAGAATATAAAAGTATTGGCAATGTAAATCGTGATATACACTGATGAGGCTAACAGGCGAAATGCATATGGAGAATAATGGAAAATAAAGTAAGAGATAATTGATAAGTTTCAAGTGGTAGTCCATCTCTGTTTTTAATTTTTTCGAAATCGGATACAAATGAGTGAATTTAACTTGTTTATTCTTAAGAAATTTTACAATTTATTTAGAATTATTGTTTTTAACATTTATAATAACCGATCGTATTGTATTAATATTTATTTTACGATTTAATAATTATGATGGTTNAGATATAATGTTAAAAATAAAAAAATAGGTTACTTATATATTAAAATTCCATATATTTCAAAACTTTATGAAAAATATAAAAGCTTTTTAAAAAATTATTATTTTGTCAACTTAGTAGGTGAACAGCAAAATAGGTTAAATAAAAGTAGTTATTTGATTAACAAAGAAAATGTGAAACAGTCGAAGAATCCTCTGGAAGAGGCAGGAGTCGTATATAGGTTGATGCATACATGTACAGAATGAAAGTGCTATATTGGCGAAATGGGAAGAAAACTTGAAGTGAGACTGAAAGAATGTGAGGCGACAATTCGACTAAAATAGAACTGAATCCCTGTGGCAACAGCATTGTAGTGTATTATTGACTGGAATAATATCAAAATATTGTATAAAATAGAAAACCTTGTAACGAGACGTATTGTTGAACATTATTGTATCAAAAATTAAGTAAATGCTATTAATTTAANACAATTCGACTAAAATAGAACTGAATCCCTGTGGCAACAGCATTGTAGTGTATTATTGACTGGAATAATATCAAAATATTGTATAAAATAGAAAACCTTGTAACGAGACGTATTGTTGAACATTATTGTATCAAAAATTAAGTAAATGCTATTAATTTAAATACTGGTGCATATGTAGATGCATGCTGGAATAATTTGATAGAATATAAAAGCATTGGCAATGTAAATCATGATATTCACTGATGATGCTAACAGGCAAAATGCTTATGGAGAAAAATGGAAAATAAAGTAAGAAATAATTGTTAAGTTTCAAGTCATAGTCCATCTTTGTCTTTAATTCTTTCAAAATCAGATAGAAAAGAGTGAATTTAACTTGCTTATTCTTAAGAAATTTTACAATTTTTTTTTAGAATTTATTGTTTTTAACATAAATATGTTTTGTTTTACTTTGTTTATTTCAATTATAAACCAATATTTCTGTATGTATAAAAGTGTAAATATACATATTTGATTACAAATATAATTGCTTAATTGTTTAAAATGTATATATAATCATTTGAACAATATTTACTGAACAATAAATTTTTGTTATCTAGAAACAGTAAGACTTAATACAATATATTTTTTAATTTAGAAAAATTTGATAACACTTGTACAGACTATTATTATGATTTCTTGAATTTAAATGAATGCCTATTTATTGTCACTTTTTAGTACTGGATTTATATTTTAATGTAAAAATCAGAGAATCATTTTCAATTCTTCAGACAATATATTAATTACTACACTAAATAAAAATTAAAGGATAAAACAGATTCCTTTATTTTTTTCTTGTGATTTTCCAGAAATAAAAATAAAACAAAAGACAATATTTAACACACAATCATTAATGAATATTACAGGAAACATAATTTATCATTCAGAGTGACTGGATAAAATTATTACAGAAATGCAATAATTTAAAATGTTAAAATATAGGAAAAATTCAAAAGAACTAGAAATAATATGGTAAATTTACAACTTAAAAGAAAACACACTATCATTCAATATAACGAAGATAATGTAGCCCTAAATGTAAAAATCAATCAAGGAACTTTATTATATTAATACTTTGTATGAATCAATATTTAATGTTCTGAATTAATAGATATTGTTCAAAACGTTGCATAGTCTCTCTAAAAAAAGTGAGTACATCGACTGCAGCTTGTTCATTATTATCCAATAAAAATTCCAACAAAACGGGAATGACAGTCGGTGCAACATCAGGAAATCTAACACAAGAATGAAGAGTTCAAAGCAAAAGCTGACGATACTTCCTTATATCATATTAATAGATATTGTTGAAAAACATTAATCATTTTTCACAGATATTCATTTTAAAATATATTCAAAGTTATTTCAGTTATTGTATTTAGAGAATAATATATTTTTTTCAATACATCAGCACAGTAATTTAGTAAAATTTATGTAGGAAATTTGTAACTGATTTTTTAAAATTCCAAATTAACTCATTTTTATCAAATTCCAAAAATGAGAAAAACACCTACTGACATATCAAAACTATAATTATTTCTATTTTTTATCCAGCAATTGCATATTTTTTTAAGGTTTAATTAAAAAAATTAAATATAATGAATTAATTTATTTCTATAAGTTAACAGAAATGTGATAATCAAATATAAATTTAAAAACTACCATAACTTTTGGACTATAAAACATCTGGATATAAGCTGCAGGAAGTAAAAACAGGTAATTATTGTAAACTAATTGACAGAGAACCTGCACCTTTATATTAACCACACCAACTTTTAGTTGCTGATAAATCTCAATGTTAAACATGCATTCACATGCAAGAGTAGTGATTTTTTCTACCTACTAGTTTTTCCACAAGAATATTTTTTCAAAATTGACTTATTTAGCTATACTTCCTTGATATCTATGCATATATGCTATTCATGTAAAAACTTTGGTCAAAAAAGATTTTATACTTATTACAGGCCCCCTGCCATAGGAATTTGCCATCTTGCACATGCATACATGGCAATCATGAGTGATCTCCATGACAATCTTTCATTATTGATGCAAGTAGTAGTTATGATGTCACAGACATTTGTCAGCTATATGTGACATAATGTGTGGTCTGCAAGTCATTATGTCTTTGAACACTTGTTTCTGTAAGATAGTCTGGGTGCTACAACCTTCAACAATTTAAATGTTTTTCTGGATTTATTTCATTCCAAAAATACAGAAAAATCATTAGCTGGTTCTTCTGAGAAATACCTCAGCTCTCCTGTCATTTATTTCCAGCTGAACATATTTCACATTAGCCCACACACTTGCAAAGGACATTGTTCTGTAAATGAAAATGTATGATACTGAAGTTTGGTACACGCATAGAAATTATATGACAGGATTTTTCAGAATTACCAAATTTGAGGAATAGCAATTACATGCAATATAATTAATTACACATGAAAAATTAGTGGAA